TGATTTTAATGGTCCGGTTGTGAATAATTTCGGAGGTTCTTCATTCCGCAAATCTCATAGATCCTGTGCTTTTTTTTTTTTTTTTACTTTTCAGGAATAACAAACCCTTTTTGACTTTCGGAAGCTTAATCAATTTTGAAATTACGACCCCCCCCCCTCATTATGGGAAATTTCTGTTTCGTATTTACGAACCTCAGGAATTATGAACTTTAGGATAAACAAACTTTCAGGAAAACGAGTGCCTCCCATCATTATGAAGACCAAAAATATCTTAAAAAACTATTACAAATAAAAGAAGAGTTTAATCAACCATGGGATACTTTGATACTCTTTGTTAAATACATATGGATAATAAATGAATGCTTGCAGCAACGACAATACGGATATGACATAATTATTTATTTTATTTACTTGTAAAATGTCAGCGATATTTCATTACAAGGCATCGTCGATAAAAGACATTGAACTATGTGTAGTTCTATAATCTTGTGTATTACACGAAATTTGACGAACTATTTGAAGAAGCCTGTACATATCACATTGTTAAAATTCTACATTGAGCACAACTGATATATACACGACGAGCGTTGTGAGGGTCTACATAATATTTATGGAGGAAATACATACGCATGAATAGGCCTAACATTCTACGCGCAAGCCTACCCACCATTCCTTCCACACGCACACACACGCAATCACGCATACACACGCAAACTCGCACATACACGCACTCACACGCACACACAAAGACAAATACAATATACTATTACTACACTTTGTTATAACGAAAGATGGAGAGAGAGAAGGGGAGGGAGGGTAGAATTGGACAGAGAGAGAGAGAGAGAGGGGGGGGAGAAGGAAAGGGGAGATATAGGGAATAACAGAAAGCGAGAGAGAGAGGGAGAGAGAGAGAGAGAGACTAGGAAAAGAGAGATATAAAAGGACAGAGAGAGAGATAAAGAGAGACGAGAGAACAGAATCAGAAAAGTAATAGGGTAACATTTATTAGTAGATAAGTATTTCATTCATTCCATGTATTTGGCAAGTAGGTTCTTTAACCTAGCTTTACATGCATGCAGGTGTACAATATTTCGTTTTGAAGAGAATTCCACAAAGCCCCATTCATGTAAAGGTTGTACGACATATGCCCCAGCCACAATTGCTCCGAGGTCATTGAAGGAAATCCAACCTCGATATCAAACTACTCTAGACTAGAGGAAATCAGGGAAGACTGGTGAAAGTTGAAATGAGAAAGTTAAATATTTTGAAAGTTTTAATCACTATAGGTATTGGCTCTTCATACTGGCTGAATCGGTAATGTCTCTGCGATGTAGTGATGGAAAACATTCACATTTGTTCTAACACAAACTTTAAAATAAAAAAAAATAAAAAATAATAATAATAATAATCGAATTTTTCAAAAATGGAAGACTCAGGAGGGTCTTTACTCTTTAGAAGACCTATGATACTATATGCTATTCGTAATAATTTATGAAAGTACTTCTACTATACTACTACTACTTCTAATAAAAATAATTATAATACTGATAATAATAATAATGTGATGAGACATGGTGAAAAATAGAAATGGAAGGAGGTAGTGACCTACTAAAATATTCTTTTGTAAATGCGCCTGAAAGAAAATCGAAAATAATTGACCCCCTCCCCCTTGATAATATGAAAATTACTTATATTCGGGAAATAGTCACCTTATGACATGCGATTTGATATACAGCCTAATGGAACTACAAATAAATTAGGAATATGTTAACAACTTATGTCGTTTTATGATGTATAAAAGCACGAAATAATAAGAGCATTTTGCAAAATAGAGCGTTCCTTAATTAAAAACAAATGAATTGTACGTTAAACCTTGCGATTCTTTCAAAGGATTTTTTCAATGAACTTAACATGTAAAATGATGCATTAGATGTCTTGAGTTTTGCTCGTCTATTTCGTTTATTCGCGTGCATACAGTCTGGGATAATCTGTCAAAACGTGTATATCAATAAAACAATATCTGCCCCCTCTGTTAAACGAAAGGAACGGTTCAACTCCAACCTTGTTAAATGGTCCGGATGTTCCGCGCCCCTCTTCCACACCCCCCCCCCCCCCCAGGGCAGAGATCAACCGCCTAGATTGATCTCATGAATTGCTTATTCGTGTTACAGACTACAAACGTACGTAATCCAGTTTATTGGAGTCATGCAGTTGTTTCGGAGTCCCTGGCTTTTTTTTTTTGTTGTTTATAATTCTGGTTGTCAGATTTCTAGGGCATTTTTGGAAGCGCATTCAAATTTCGCAATTTCCTCCACTCATGAACATAACAGGAAGCAAACATTTCGCAACCCCATCTGGCAACTGATTGGATTATCTTCTTTTTCCCCCTCTCTCTCTCTGTCTCTCCACCATCTCTTTACCCCCTTTCAGTGTATATATAGGGATGAACTGCGTATTAAAATCAGAATGTTGTGGCTCACAGCTCGGTCTCAAGTTCTTGAACGTCAAGTTCATGAGAAACCTGCCATACAATATATTCTCCTGTTTGCCTAAGGAGTTTCTTCAATTAAATTACTTATATATAACTAATGCTGGCATACAGAATAATGACAGTCAGTTGACATTTGACGCACATTCTCGTGGAATCCCAGAGAGCACGGGTTTAGCAAGGAGAGCTTACTCATGTGTCGAGTTTCAGTATTAATAATTATGTAAACAAGGAGCCCTGTTGAAAAAGGCGAAAACGTGAGTATTCTCAACCATCTTGCATACAAATTTCAGTTATATTGCACTATAACTAGGGTTAGGATGGTCGTGTGTGTGTGTGTGTGTGTGTGTGTGTGTGGGGGGGGGGGGGTACTCTTAATCCCCTTCGGCCCCTGGCCCCACGGTCTGCAGGACATTTTTGCTCATGGCCAGTTAATATAATGATAATTTGATTTTGTTTTTTGTCATTTGTCATTTGTCCGTTGGTATGAGTTTTGTCGAACAACAAACGGTGGAGTCATTACTTTTCGCTAGGCCTCGTCTTTCAGAGTTTACTGCGTATGTTAATTATTAGAGCCCCTCTTAAGTGTTGGGAGCCCCAAATTCGCTACAGATTCGGTGGCAAAATTTCATTGAAATTGTATTTTATATGGAAGAGGATGTCGTTTACCACACACTAATTTTGCAAAGATCCCCCCCCAAAAAAAAAGTGTTTGTAGACAAATATTGATAAAAGAATACATTATTTGGGTTTCATGTTGTACGCAGAAAACCAAAATGTTGTATTCTTTCATTATTCGACTTCGAACACATTTGTCTTGATAGTCCTTCCAGAAATGTGTCTTCAAAGACATCCTCTTTCACATTATGATGCAATTAAAGTGACACTCTGCAATCAAATTTTTGGGGCTCCCAACACTTTGGAGGGGCTTTAAGACAGTCGACGTTTACCATGATCTTTTTTAGTGTTCTGCCATTTGATTTATGTTTTACGAGAGATCTGGTAGTGTACTTGGTTTCATGGTACATGAGAACTGTGAACAGAATTTTTGTTGGAAAGTTTTGGAATTATACCCTGCCCTCCCCCTTTGTTTGTTGTTGTACAAAACAACAGATCAGTCCCCGGGTAAAATGAGAGTTATGCATGACTTCAACAAATATAACCGCATTGGAGATAATAAACATGTGGATCCCCCTAGTGATTTTGAAATTCAAACTTCATAAGCTAGTTCAATTTCTTCATCAGTTTAATTCTTTAACTCGTGTAATAGATACCGCAATGAAACGTTACCTAGACCCATATATTAACTCTCATTAAATCAACCATTTACAATGAGTGGAAATACTATGATGTCATTGGTCATTGAAATAATTAAGGTTGTACACAGTGGAATTGGCTTGAGGAAAAAATAGATGAAAATAATACAATGAGCATGAAATTCGCAGACAGAAAAATTCAAATGCTCGTACTTTTAGTAATAATAATAACGATAATGGGTTTTCTTGTATACCACCATGTTTGTCAAACTAAAACGCTCAACGATTACATTATCCCAGCTTTAGCGTTGCAGTTACCCTTTTACTTCACCTTGGTCGGGTGTGGCAATATAAATTAATGTCTTGCCAAAGGACCATCGTGATTAATAAACCTTGTTTTTTTTTTCAATTTCAGATGTTTAGGACCTGTTGACTCAGATGTGAATGATTGGATGAGTTCATTGGGAATGGTCCTCTGAAGTCATCGTTGAAAAATCATCCCGAGACGTTAACTGGTGATCGTAAGAGGAACGCCATTGAAGAAACTACCATCGGTGGAACGCCATTAAAAGACAGGGCTTCCTTGGCTAAACAAGTTTACCACCGGTTGGACTGACTGTACATGTTTGTAATATTATACTAACATTTTGAAAGTGAGTGATATCAACTTTGGCACGTTTTCTGAATATCGTATTGTGCAATAATATTGGACAACTTTTTCTTTCAGATGCTTCTTGTTCTCTCACTTGTTTGATAACATTACGTTTGTTTCTCAGATTGGACCCACAAATTTCGTATTAATTTATTTTCCGAAAGGAAAAGACAGCAACACCTCACAAACCTAACTGCTTGATCGCCTCGATCGCCCACTCCCGATCTTATACATGTAAGCATTATGATGCTAAACTTCTGAACTTAAGGGATCATAGTGCGTCTTGACCTTAAGACGAAGGCCTGCATGGATACACCACTTCATCAGCAGTTTAATTTTCAAAGATAAACAATCAAGAAATATGGCATCTGCAGATACAAATGTGTTTTCTCTGCTTCGTGAAGAATTGAAGTGTGGCATATGTTTAGAAGAGCTTAGTATTCCACGTGCGCTTACTTGCTTACACAGTTTCTGTGAGAAATGCCTAGAGAAATATTATAAGGAAGAACAGTCTAGCGTTGGAAAGATCGCATGTTCGCTATGTAACGAAGAGACCATTCTCAACGATGCGGGAATATTAGGCCTTAGGCATGACTTTCGCGCCATGACCCTGATAGAACGCTTAGAGAAAGAGAAGCCAAAGCCACAGCAGAAGACGAAGCGAGTGATTAACAAACTTTGTGAGGTTTGCGGGAACTTTGATTCAGAGTCGGCATCGTCCTTCTTCAACTGCACCGAGTGCACGCTAGCTTTGTGCATGGCATGTAGTAAGAAGCATAAGCACCACTGCATTGCAGACATATCAAGCAGAACCCACGTCGCCGAGATGGATCTGGAGAATAATGATGATCCAGATGGGACGATCTTTTGTGAGAAACATAGAAGGGAGAAAAAACAGTTCTTCTGTACGTTTTGTCTCATTCCGGTCTGTCAGGTGTGTTCTATCAATGACCATCGTCTTCAGGATAACCATAAATGTGTCAAGGTTGAAGATATGGTCCCGATGTTGCGCGAGGAAATACAATCACGAATGTCAAGACTGGCTCAAGTGGGCGAACAGTGTGCAGCCACTATTCCCATGATTGAGAAAGCCGAAAACCTGGCCAAGAAACAGAAAGATGTCCTTGATAAGCAGATTGAAGACGATTTTGATGAATACACCCATTGTGTGAAGGTTAAAAATGAAAAATTCTTCGAATTACGGAATCAAACACTTAGTCAATGGCAGAAGATAATAGAAGATCGGACCAAAATCATAAAGACAATTCAGTTGAAGGCGGACGAGACACTAGACAAGAGTGAGAACTACATTCTAATTGTTACCTCATACCAAAATCTTCTGATATCCCTTGACAGCCTTCTCTCGAAAGCGCCAGAGAAATACATCCGCAAAACGATCAAGAAAGTCATGGAGGAAAGACAGCTTCATTTCACATTGACGGACAACGAGTCTCCAATTGAAGCTAATGTGTTCATTAACCGTGGGGTTTGTGATAGAAAGAGCATCGACATAGGCCTGGGAGGCGGAGGATACCTGGAGGCTGTGACATTTACTCGTGATGGGAGAGTAGCTATTTTAGCGTCACTCGAAGGACCCTGCACGTCTGCAACCAAAATTGAGTTCCATAGGCACTTAGGTAAGCGATATACTGAATACCGAAATAAGCTGTATGAACATCATAGGTATTTAGCCATCCTACAAACTACAGCTTCCTCAAAAATGGCTACTCAATTTGGCATAGAGACAAGAATTGAGGACTCCACTACGTCTTCATCGGCTTTTGCATCGCTCTCAGACCTAAGGTTCGTGTTGGATAAGGATGAAGACCTTCCTGACATACAAGCCCATGGTGATGTATACCATGTCAGGGAATTACCTGGACGCATATCGTACATGGCTACGGACCTTAAAGATAACATTTACTGCAGCGTTCCAAGCTACAAAATGATATATGTCGTACGTAGCGATGGACCCCAGACCAAATCGATTCCCATAGGCAACCTTGCGCCACAGCGCATTGCAGTTTCTCCACGGAGTCCGAACCAGATCATATTCACCCACGATTCAACGAAGATCTCAGTCGTTGACTGGAGTGGAAAGCTTCTCAAGACCATCACCCGTCCTGAATGGAAAGAAGTTGCCATCGGATGCGACAACAACAATATACTCTATGTCCTCTGGAAGAACGAAGCAAAGTTGATAACTTTGCAAAGGTTCTATTTGAATGGAGACCTGTTGGATACACTCTTTAAAAGAGAAACGCGCAGTTGTAACCAACTTCTCCTAGCGGTATCACCAAGTGGAACTGCAGCTGTTGTTATCGGCGAGGGCAGTTACCGCAAGGTGACGCTGATTTCGACTATGCGTGAATTCACTGGCGAAGAAACTTCCTTGCCTTGATAATTAGGTCCATCATTAAAGACATGAAAGCCTACACTCATCTGCTGCCATGTGCATGACGTAGGCCTACGTATATTTTTTTATTTTATTTTATTTCTGCATTTTTTCCATATAAAATATAACTGAATAACAAATAACATATAAACGTAAGGTATAATACAACATAAACAAACAATAATTTCTTCATGTCAAAATGTGTTTTTTTTACATAATATTTGTACATATAATAACGAAACTTAATATTTCCATAACATATAATCATAAATTTAAAGTATTATCCGAACTATTCTGTTGGAAAAGTGCAGGAGACCGCAATCATAAGCAAAGCTTGACAAGGATGGCGGCCTAAAAAATAAAAAAAAAGAAAGAAAAGAATCTTAAGGTAAACCTTAAAATGAAAAAGTGTTAAAATGATCTTTGTGTATGAGTTGGTGAGTGTGTTGTGCAAGTGTATACATATATATTGTGTGTGTGTGTGCGTGTGTGTGTGTGCGTGTGTGCGTGTGTGCGCGTGTGTGTGTGTGTGTGTGCATGTGCACGCGAGCGTGCGTGTTTGTATGTGTTTGTAACGAATAGTGGAAGTGCACTGTGTGGTATAGTGGAATGGAAACAAATATAGCCTTTACAATAAAGGAAACTAAGAATACGAAATAGAAAACAAAATTTGCAAAACTAAGTTGCAATGTGACCAAAATTTGACAATTGCCTACTGCATGTTGAAATCAGTTATGCAGATACTTCGATATAAGAGTTTCTTGGAGAGATGCTTTAAAGGTACTATGTCCCATTTGCAGGCCAAAAAAATGAAAAAGTTAAATTCCAACTGCATTTGAAAGATAATACTAATTTAGAACTTCCCTAAAAAAGGTGGGGCTTGAAAATGTCTTCAAGTGGGAAAATAACGACTATTAGTTGTCAAATCGACGTTAGGGCTATAGAGCCCAAAAGTAATAGTCTTGATTTTCAGACAATTGTACCGAATGGTCATACTTTTATGCTGTGCAAAGATTCAATCAGTTTAATCTTGGCCATCACAAGAAGTGGGTTATCGATGTAGACAAATGCTCATGTACCCTTTACAACTCTTTTCATGTATGTTATTACCAAAGAAGAAAAAAAGCCAGTCAGTCACTCAATAGTGTCTGACAGTGAAGTCTAGCAAGTTAACGGGTTTCCTTGCATAATTTGAATATGAGGACACTGCTAACGTTTAAATTTCACAGATAGGACATACATGACATATTCATAATTCCTGCAAAGTTCTACAGAATTTGAGGTTGGCTGCAAAAGGGACATAGTACCTTTAAAAGAATAGAGAGATGAACAATGCCTTATTGAATTTGGTAAGGAGTTCCAAACATCTGGTCCATGATGTCTTACTAATTTTTGTGCTAAAAGTATTTTAGGATTTTCTAAGTGATAATTTGTTGAACAACGGGTGGGGTATGTGTGAATATTTGAGTTTAAACTGTAAATATTGTGAAATAGGGATGGTAGTTGATTATGAGAATATTTATACATAAAAATGCAATGGACGCGTTGGAATTACCAAATATTGTTTGTGCAAAGCTAGCACGCAGCAAAACTCGTGTATGTATTACAAAATATATTTACAACGTGGCATGACTGACCATGGAGAAGCTCATTACATTCATGTGCAGATTGACTTAACAAAATAAACAATATTGTATCATGGAATTACAGTAATGGTGTATTAAATTGATACAAACGAGAACAAAATGTTTTTATTAAAACAAACTTTCCTGGCACCCTAGCTCCAAATGAAACACAAATACCATCACTTATATGATGTTGAAAAGAAGATATTTCAGAGTTATGCGAAAATAATATTTGTAAATGTGAATGTATTTGGGTTATCATAAAGATTGTGAATCAATTGAAATATGTTAATTATTATTCGAGATTTTACTACCATTTCTCCATCACTTGTGCCTACGTTTGTCTTTATTATTGAACATGTTAAACTTTGTTTTTGGTATTCCTTCGATCGAATTGGGACGCAGTGAAGATTATGACAGTAGTTTTAACTGAAAATCTACGCAATATACATGTATGCACATAATTTACCGTTATTCCAGATGGTCACACTACTACATCTACTACTACTTCTACTACTACTACTACAACTTTTACTACTACTGATAATGGTTATCAATATATTACGATAATAATAATGATATCGTTTATTTTAGATTATATTAAAGTGACATATCTGCCTTTAAATTTCTTTAATGCAAATGATATTAATTAAAACCGACAAAAATAACAAATTTACAAATATGCATTATATGAATGTTAATTGGATAGTCTTTGACATATGGAAAGTAATGATATTTGTTTATTATTGTAAACGTTATAATACATGGTTAGTAGTTGGTTTATAATAATACCAACAAGCTGTAGTATATGAGAAGAAGCCAAACAATAACAACCAACATTGAAATTGCTAGCTATTATGTCCAAATATTATTTGATCTGTCAAAAATATACTTTTATTAGATGAGAAAATATAGAACTGCATGTGTGTACATATATGTATACACATATAATGTTTGCGATTTACATACTACTTTTCCCCGATACTATTGTACATATTTATTATGATTATGTTAAAGAGAAGGTTGAGTTCTGGGAAGAGGTGAACAATAATTTGTGAGCGTTATCATTGCTATTACGCAAGTGGGGAAGAACATCACATCAAACATGTTCCCTGAAAAGCACGGCTCTTCAAATGCCTTCATATTCTAAATATGTCATGTAACATCGTAAAAGTCCAGGGTAGGATTTTTACACCACGTGTTCGTGCAGTCCCATATACATCTTTCTGTGTACAGTGTTTGTAACTTTACCAAGGATTTGCCAAATTTCTTATCATTTTGATGATTCCAGAACCTTGCAATACACACAAATACTTTTAGGCTAGATGATCAAAATTTTCTGATCGATTCCACACCGTTTCTTTCACAATGTAATCGCATGACCAGAACTCAACTTTATCTTTAAGTATTAAATTCATTGATATAAAACATTTTGATTAGAATTCATGTTTCTGTTGTATGTCAATGTGTTACATTATAAAAGGCAGACAACCCCGACGAGAATATGACGTATATGCATTGTAATTCACTATATGTTTTGAAGTACATGTACATATACAGTCATTTTCCCGTCTTTACTTTTCTTTCCCTTTCTTCGTCTAAATCTTCTCTTTGGTTCTGATATTGATAATAAAAATAATTTAGAAGGCGTATCTCACACAGATTTATGCTTATGGGACTTTAGCCTTCTTCCTTGTGTTGAAATTGTTACTATGCTCTTGAAAATGATTTGTCATTATGTATACTTTATTACCTGAAAATTTTGTGAACAAGAAACAAGAAGAAATGGGAGAAAATATTGATAATTTGAAAGTTGTTATTATGATCTTTGATATTGTACTCATCATGCTTATTGGACGAAATTACTGTTGCATGGAACTTTTATGCACGTTCATAATTCCGAAGGTTCTTTTTTACGAAGGTTGTTGATTTTAATGGTCCGGTTGTGAATAATTTCGGAGGTTCTTCATTCCGCAAATGTCATAGATCCCTGTGCCTTTTATTTTTATTTTTCAGGAATAACAAACCCTTTTTTACTTTCGAAAGCTTAATCAATTTTGAAATTACGACCCCCCCCCCCCTCTCATTATGGGAAATTTGTGTTTCGTATTTACGAACCTTAGGAATAAACGAACTTTCGGGAAAATGAGTGCCTCCCAAAATTATGAAGACCAAAAAATATCTAAAAAACTATTACAAATAAAAGAAGAATTTAATCGACCATGGGATACTTTGATACTCTTTGTTAAATACATATGGATAATAAAAGAATGATTGCAGTATCAACAATACGGATATGACATAATTATTTATTTTATTTACTTGTAAAATGTCAGCGATATTTCATTACAAGGCATCGTCGATAAAAGACATTGAACTTTGTGTAGTTCTATAATCTTGTGTATTGCACGAAATTTGACGAACTATTTGAAGAAGCCTGTACATATCACATTGTAAAAAGTCTACGTTTAGCACAAATGATATATACACGACGATCGTTGTGAGGGTCTACATAATATTTATGGAGGAAATACATAGGCATGAATAGGCCTAAAATTCTACGCGCAAGCCTACCCACCCTCCCTTCCACACGCACACGCGCACAATCTCGCACATACACGCACCTCACACGCATACACAAAGACAAATGCAATATATTATTACTACACTTTGGTATAACGAAATAGGGAGAGAGAGAGAAGGGGGAGGGAGGGTAGAATTGGACAGAGAGAGAGAGAGAGAGAGAGGGGGAGAAGGAAAAGGGAGACATAGGGAATAACAGAAAGCGAGAGAGGGGGAGAGAGAGAGAGAGACGAGGAAAAGAGAGGTATAAAAGGACAGAGAGAGAGATAGAGAGAGAGAAAAAGAGAAGAGAGAACAGAATCAGCAAAAATGAGAAAGTAATTTTTTTTGAAAGTTTTAATCACTATAGGTATTGGCTCTTCATAATGGCTGAATCGGTAATGTCTCTGCGATGTAGTGATGGACAACATTCACATTTGTTCTAACACGAACTTTAAAAAAAAAATTAAAAAATCAATCAATCAAAAAAAAAAAAAAAAAAAAAAAAATCAAAAATCAAAAATGTAGGACTCAGGAGGGTCTTTAGAGGACCTATGATACTATGCTATTCGTAATAATTTATGAAAGTACTTATACTACTACTACTACTACTACTAATAATAATAATAATATAGTATTAATGACTGCTTTGAGAGAAATAGTTGTTTTATTACGCTCAAGGGAAGGTTAGAATTGTGCTATTCCCCGAGGCTTGCCGAGGGGAATAGCCCAATTGTAACCTTCCCGAGAGCGTAATAAAACAACTATTTCTCGAATATTAAAGCAGTCATTAATACTTTTATATGCCGAAAAAAAATA